GTCTGGGAGACCAGCAGCCACCCAAGAGACAAGATAATGGAGCAGGAAGAGCTGCCTCCTCTGCCCATTAGTCAAATGTTCCCAAGGAGAGAGTGAGATGCTCCCCAGGAGCAATCATTGCTGTTTGAAAGCCTCAGCTGTTACACGAAAAAAAATCGTAATAATGGTGGCAAAGAGCTGAACTGAATGAGATTGCACAGTGGTGCTTTTATGTGGTAGGAGGAGGAAAGAAGAGCACGTCTGTAGCATGGTGTGAAAGCCATAGGAAAAGATGTGCCCCCTTAAGAAGAAGAAAGAAACATTTTGCTGAAATGTTTAGAAGTGCCTTCCTTTATTGGGCTGCTGGTTGTCAAGGAGAAAGAATTGATCATTAAAAAAAAATGACAAGAAAAGGAGCTGTCAGGAAAGAAGACATCTGGAACTGACTTGTGTACAGTTTCTTCTTCTTCGCCCAGTGACACTGAATCATTTGTTTCACTGTTTTAAACTGAATAAAGCTCTGGAATTGTCTGATTTCTATTTAATAAAACCAGGCACTTGCAGTATTTATTTTCTTTAACAAGGCAGTATTATTTCTTTTTTTAGTTCAATGTATGATCATTTCAGAGAGTGCTAGTGGACCATTTAATCACTGCTCTCAGGTATATGGCATGTAATTCATACAGAAGGAATCAGTTATGGAAAAAGAAAAATCTAAGGAAGACCCTTGAGACAATACTGTGAAAACTGTGTAATTTGGGCATATTTTTAAGAGCAATCACATGCTCTGATTTATGGCAGTCTCATAGATAACAAGATTAACTACCTGGGTTTGATTAAAATAAAAAAGGAAAAATGTTGAAATGTTAAGTTTTGGTTCAGTATATTAATGTTGAGCTTGTTCTGTAAAGGTCATTCAGAAGGAAAATAATCATATAAAACTAAAAACAGATATTTTAGTTGTGGGCAGAGTGAAAACAAGAAAAGAAAGGATGCTTTTTAAAATGATCTAACAAGCTCAGTCCCATTGCATCATTACCAACAGCCTGGATGCAGACATTAAGCAAAGTTAGTGCATGGAAAGGATGCTCACTAATGATACTGCTTTCTCATGGGACAACTTTGCAATGAGCAGGGGGATACTGTTAAACAATGAATCACAAAGCAGTTGTAAAGGACTGAGCTTTTTGTGCTGCATGGCCAAGCACATCAGTCCCCACAGCAGATGTCTGGATGGCTGAGCATCATCTGCAGGTCTATGAACTTTCTGCTCATCAACTTCTATATTTATGAATAAGGATGATGAAACTTTAGCTCTCTCGCTTGAGATCTGAGGGTGAAAAGTGCTATCTAAGAAACAAAGGTAAAAAACTAAATAGGATTCTTTCTGGTTTTCACTTTATTTATTCCAATTAAGGAAAAGTTCCTGCAAGTTAATAAAATCATGCTAACATAGCAGTCTTGTGAGTATTAGATGGTTATCTGTTCCAAGAAAGGCCAGACTCACTACTCAGAAGAATATCTAACTCTCTGGTAACTAATTAAGTGTATGACAGACTACATGGCTTTATCATCTGCTATAAAAAGCGCTAGAATGTCCTAAAGCATTCATGCCTGAAAAGCTGGAGCCTGTAATGATGTTCTGACATGCACAAATAGTGCACCTTTGACTGAATAAGAAAAACAGGTACTTCATTTTTCCTGGAGTAGCCCTGGCCATGACCACTTAGCTTGAGGACTTAGTCATGTCCTCAGTGCTGCCTAGTTTCTAGCAGAGACAGAGCCATTGAGATAGTTCTGCTGAATCTTATGGCTTCATTTACGTTTCCTCAAAGGACCCTTTTCTACAGACTGATCATGGAAATCTCACTCTAGAGCCCTGGCAGAGGTAAAATAGACCTCAGCCTCTATAATCTCTGCCCCATTGTCAGAGCAGCTTCCAGGGCATGTGTGGAAATGAGTATCAAGACCAGGCTCTTCTGCAAGCTGAGCTCGGAGACACTGAACATCACTTTTGTATCCAGCAGCAGGCACAGATTCCCAAAGTCAGCACGCCCAGTTTATTGCAGGCTGTTATAGATGCTTCATCCTGTCACCAAAATAACTGTGCGTGATTTCCTGAAGGAAAAACAATAAAACTCTCCATGAAGATGCCTTCTTCTCTGCATCTTTGATGGACTGATTTTCATGTATTCAAACAGCTAAATACCCGTGCCAGGCAAAGCCCGATCCTCTGTATCTGTTTCTCTTTTTTCACTAGCACAAATGATAGACAGCTTAGAAACATGATGGGCATTGGGGAAGGAGGGTTACAGCATGCAAATCTTCTTTCACAGGCACCTTTCTACACTGAGTTTCTCATCAAAATGCTATTGATATTACAACCTCAAAGACCTTCTACAAGACCAATAGACAATCTTATTCTAAATCAAGGTCCTACCATGGTCCTTCACTCACCAGAGATCTAGAGGCACTTGGTAGGTTGCCTGTCTGCAAGAGAGAAAATGAAGTTTAACTATGGATGCCTTGTTAATTCTCTGCTCATTTCCAGACAGGTATATCTGTGTGGCAAGTGATGAAGCTCTATCAATACGTCTCTCAAGCACCTGGCACAAGCTTGTAGAGCTACGTTTCAAGAAAGTTACTGTGGCCCACGTCAGCCACAGCCCTCGTCAGCTGCATCCCCGAGTCTGTGCCTCAGCTGGGATTTCCTCCCACAGTCCCATGAGCTCAGCCAGCCTCTGGAAAAATCACTGTGTAAACTTGTGTTTTCTTTGTCATTCAAGTGAGCTTCTATTTCTGGTATAGCTACAGTTTCCATGGCTACACCAGCACATAAATAGGGTCAGAAACCTTGGAGATGTTTTTAAGTGATTCCTTGGAACAGGATATAATCTGGCCAGAGGTGACGAAGCTCATGAGTTTTCCTTTGAGGCCACAAGAACTGCACTACTGCTACCACTTGAACACCATGGCTTCTGGGGCAGCTCTGGTTTGGATCAGATGGCAACTGTTGTGTCCAAAAAGGTTGGCATTGGCTTTCCCAGGACCAGGGGAGGAAAAGTCTGGGCAGGGAGGGACAGGGATCAGGTACTCAGGCCTTGAGCAGGACTTGTCATCCATCCAGTGTGGCAGCCATGCATGAATGTGAAGCAGGTGCCTGCTGGTCTGAAAAGGAGCTGCACCCACATCCCTGCAAAGCAAATGCCACCTGCTTTGTGAGGGGAAAGGAGAGAGAGATAATGGATGGATGGATGGATGGATGGATGGATGGATGGATGGTCTTGATAATGCTGGGAGATAAGAAAAAAACGTGGTAAGTGGGGCCCTTTAGGGAGTTTCTATCATGTTTTGTCAGTGCCAAAATAATAGCTTCATGTGACACCATGGAAATTTTTTTTCCCACATGTCCACTTTTGTTAAGGAGAAATGAGACAGATTTCATTGGGGAAACAGGGAAACAAAGAGGGTGTTTTGAAAACAAACAGTGTGAACATATGGAAATTTTTCAGGTTCAGAAAAGAGGAGTAGAGGGTTCTAGTGCTGATTTCCCCAGCAACTCTACCTACATAGGAAAAAGCAGAAGGGGAGGGGAAGCCCCCAGAAACCTGTCTGCAGCAGATGGAGGCATGGGAATGAGCAGCAGGGATGGGAGTAGAGTCTGCTGCCAGCAGGCTGCACCTCTTTATATCCACACAAGCAGGTCCCTGCCCACAGTAATCACTTCTGCTGTCAGAAGAGGCTGAGTGCAATCAATCTCCACACATTTGTATACAAGCTCTAGTCATCACAAGGAAGAGAGGATGCCAACATGATGCTGCCCCCATCCTCTTTCCTGTGCCCAGAAATTATTGCACAAGCCTCTGAAAGCTGTGTGATCATCCTTAAACCTGTGGGAATCTAAGTGTGTTTGCTCCTTTTCTGCTAGATTGAAAGACTCATGGCTGCACATAGGATTTACTTCCCAGCATCTCAGTGCCCACTCAGGGGCTAGGACCTTATTGATTTTTTTAATTTAAGCTAAGAGTCTCATAGAAGGATTTATCTTGTCTAACTTCAGCCATCAGAAAGGCCAGGGGCCTCTGCTATGGGGCTCTTGCTCAGCACCAGTACAGTGCTGGACTGGTACCTACTGGGTCTGCCACCCCAGAGGGAGCCTGTCCCTTCTTAGTCACACACAGTTACACCTCTGGCCAGTATGGCTGCTCCAAAACCGCCTCCTCCAGCCTCGCCCAAAGACAAACCCCATGCACCACACACAAACGCACACTTTGTTCTCCTTCTGCCCCTGTGTTGCTCTAATGCTCCTTGTGCTACTCCATTCTCTGGGACCAGTTTTGGTCCTGCCAGCCTTCATCTCATGTTGTGAGCTGGATGCTCAACAAGGGTAAAGTGAGAGGTGCTTCACCAGAGCCAAGGGGTCCAGAGGATTGTTAACCCTGTGGTTATGCCTCAAGCCAGACAGCTACAGTCCATAACTGAGGCACTGCTGCAACTGAGGATGAGCAAGCATCGCTTGAGTGGACTCAGCCCTCTTGTCACTGGGCTGATTATGAGCATTGCTCTGTTAGATGTATCTTCACCCCTGTGGCACCACTGAGAAGTTTACTGGAAACCTCTGCAGGCATTCACTGGCGCAGGGGAAGGATAGGGGTTGATTAGGACCAAATCCTCCCATTCCTGACTTGTGAACTCAAGTGTGTGTGTGCACGTGTGTGTATGTTCCCAAGCAGCAGCATCACTCAAAGGACAAGTTATTTCTTTATTTCTCTTTGCCTCTCCAGAGATCTCCCCCCAGGAGCTCCAGACAAGCCACAACCTTCTTGCAGCAAGGGGCACATCACTCCTCAGGAGCATGTTGAGGCTCTGCTCCTCTTCCATGACTTGCTGGAGCTGTGCCTGCACAGTGCTGATCTCAGTGCTCCCCCCACTTCCCCCCCACCGGGTAGGCAGCCGCCCACGACTGGTGCCCTTATGTCACCTGGTGGCAGGGTATATCTGTAGGAGAAAGGACACCTCGAGACTCTTTCTACGCAGGCTGGAGGACAGGAGTTGGATGATTTGCAAGAGGAACTCTTGGCACTGTAAGTGTTCTCTGGGACCATAAAGCAATAGCAAGGTGGGCAGGGGTGTGAAAAAGGAACCGGCTGCAAAACCCAGGGGAGAGAAAAGTCCAGATAAAATCCCATGGGGAAAAAATCTGGATTTTTTTTATGCTTGGAGAGCATGAACAGAACCAGTAGCTAAGAGAGGGAGTTGTGGTTCTTGGGTGTTTTTTTCTCTTTCCTCTAACATTAGGGCAGGTGCTGCAGCAGTGGTTTGATTCAAAGCTCCCTGGTTGTGTGAGCAGCTCTGCTCTCTGCAGGGCCACTCAATCCCTGGAACCCCCTTGGCTTGTGTCCTCAACTGGCTGAGCCTGTGTGTGAACAGCACTGGGGGGCTCCTGAGGAGCAGTTGGGACAGGCAGCTGGTCTTTCCTGCCTTGGTGCCCAGTTGTACATGCAGGGCCCATCAATGGGAAGTTTATACCATGTGATGTTGTACCTCTGGTGTTACTGAATCCTTTCTTTCAACTGAGAAAGTCTCTCCAATGATTCTCCATTTGGGAATATAGTTCTACTTGAAATGAGTTTCTGTCTTTTAGAGGGCATCCTCTTTCACCTGTTCTTGGTCTTAAAATTGCTGCTAGAATGAAGGGTTTGAGATCCTGTGTAAAACATAGGAACAGAAAGGGCTGAACTTGCATAGACTTTTTCCATCGCTGTGATTAACCAGCTCCAGCAACTGAGACTGGAGCTGTGAGACTCCTCAAAGGCATCTTACACTGGATACAATACTCCCTGGTGAAAGCCTATCTGCAAGGATGATGCTAGTGGCTCTCATGAGACCAAGAGCTGAGCATGCAAGAAGTCCCTCAAAAAGGATGTGAAAACAAGGGTATTTCCTCATGGTTGCTGTCTACTCTCTGTGCATGGAGGGCTATGGCTCATGGAGGTTCTTTGTCTGACACCCCTGAGGCAGCATAAGACAAATGTATGTGGAGCAGTCTGTATGTTTGAAGGTTTCCAACAGGGGAAGAGGAGTTCCTACACCAAAACTGTCTGAAGAAGATCAAATGAGGCATCTGCATTATCTGCCAGGAACATTTTCCACAGAGAATCAGAGATTAAGGACAGGTCAGATTAAAGAGTCAGCATTTGTCAGTACTATTCAAGCCCCTTTAAATGCAAAGCAAACTAGAAGAAGGATGATTAACCTGGCCAACAACCCAGAGGTGGGATTTCTGACGCAACTGAGATAAGAACATTAATGTGTATTAGGTATAATTAGCATTCAGACGCAAGCAAAGTTCTTACCCAGAGGATTAAACCCTGGACTGAGCAGAAAAGCTGTCAGGGGCAATTAGATAACACCTTGTCAGAGGAGGGGGCAGAGGAAGTGCATGGCAGAGCATCTTATGCCTCAACAGCCTTTGCATGCACAACCATCAGCTCTTGCCCAGAAGCTGCATCCCAGTCCTGGCAGAAGCAAAAGAGCTCTGGCATCCCAGGAAACATTAGGAGGAGGCAGCACAGCACTTGCAGAGATCTAGAGGAGACTGAAAACGTTTGTCAAGACACCTGTTCGTTCGGGTACCAAGGACTATCCAAGTAACCAGGTATGGTAAGACAAAAGTTTGTTAAATTCCCATAGGAAGAGGATGCTATTGGCATTTCTTTCACATCTGTGATCCTGGGGTGCTGGTCTGGCTGTGTGTAGGGGCAGTTGGTTCCCAAGATGTGGAAACTGAGGCAATTTCTGTGCTGTGGGACAGGGCCCATTGAAACATGAATAGAGAAATCTTTGATTGCACATGACAGCAAGTGAGTCCCACCAGCTCAGTGGTGGGAGGGCAGCTTGTTTCCTGCTGCAAGATGGAGGTTGTTATGTAGCATTAAGTTTGCTGTCCATCCTCTGTCATTTCTTTTGGTGATGCATGTACAGAATAAGTAGACGGATGTTAGTAAGAAAGAAGTTAGAATTGTCCCTTTTAGATTCATTGAGTCTTTTTGAATTCATGCAGGTGAAAGAGGATGAAGTGTGATTTGAGCAGATACTTTTTCCAACCAAATCTTGGGTTATTGAGTAGCTGGTAGGTGGATACAACTACTTCAGACTGGGGGAAAAGGAAACTCCAAAGACTGAATCTTTCCATTAGCTATTCCTTTATTGAGTGAAGGTCAGAGACATGGTGTGGGCTCAAGGAACTAAGAGGGTTTGACCCTCAAAGACATTTTTGTGGTTAAGGTGTCATGCTGGGAGATAGCAGGGGCTGGTGAAGCAGGACAAGAACTCAGTTGGAGAAGGAGGTCAAATGCATCTTACAAGTTTTGAATGTAAGTCCTAAGGGTTGAAAATCTCTTAGCTGGTTTGTTTTTTCTGTTGTACTTTTAGGAGTAGCCCTTGAGAAGGTTGACAAGTATCTTGTCATATCAGATGAACATGGTGCTTAAAAGTGGATGTGTGTCTTTTGTAGTTCAGGAGGGGTATCTGAGGTATCTGAGACATACAACCTACTGATGAGAATTGCACCTGAGACAGAGGCATAATACTATACTTCAGGGCATTATCAGACATGCTACAGAGCAGTTTTCTGATGCAAAGCATTTGTTTGAGGGCAGTACCATCTGAATTCCTTCCATTCTGAGTAACAGTGTGGTGCCAAATTCTGTCTTTATTTTGGAGCCAAAATGCCTCCAACTCTCAGTTTGGCCCTAAAAAACTGTGAGTCAAAAGATTTCATCATTCCTCCCAGCAGTGCGATCCAGGTCGTACCAATCACTGCACCTCTATTCTCATTCTGTAAAAGATGAAGGTGACAGTGTTTGCCTGTCCTGCCACTGTGCTGTGAGGATAAAGCTGTAAGTACTGGGCAACTGTTCAGGTGCTGTAGAGATGGCAGCCAAATAAGTAACATCTATGGTTTGAGCTGATCCTTGTGTTTTTGGGCACAGTGTGTGCTTAGGAAGCATTGTGTTACACGCGGGGGAATAGCATCTGTGCATACTTCAGCTGCAGACACAACCATCTGCTGCTCCATTTGGGACTGCTGGAACCTGTCCAGTCCCTTGCTTGGGATATTACAACTGTGACAGAAGCCTGACCACAAGCAACAGAAGAACTAGCATGCCTCTAGGTGCTATCACTTGGAACCATCCTGCTGCCACCACAGATGGAAAGACGTCCTGGGTGAAAAATTCCCTGACTGCAACAGAAACAGAAATATGGCTCTTCACTTCACATTGATGTGGAAGTGACACAGGAAGATTGCTCGGATGATCTTTCTCCTGGTATCTCAGGCTTTGCTCTCCAGCACTGTGGCTATTTCAGGACAGTCAAAGACACGAACTCTCTTTAGACTATGGAAAAAAAAAATCTTTGATGGCATTTATAGATCTGAGATTAAAAGTCCCGAGTGTCACTGCAGGTGATGTTGGGGATTAAGGCAGAGTTCTTTGGTAACATAATGAGATTAGTCTTTAGTACCAAATCCTGAAGTTAATTCCATCAGCGATTACATCAGCCTGGATACACAGGAACGAACACCTGGAGATAAGAGATATGTAACAGTCGTGGGAAGAACGTGACTTCAAGGAAAGGAGAAAAAAAATGCATTTATTTTTATCCATAAATGCACTTGCTCGGACCATTCTAGCATACTAAATAGCACAAAATTTGATGAGGGGACAAAAGGCCAAAAGCTCCCCCTTGGGCACTCGTGAGAGTTATTGCTGTCCTCTCTGGGAAGGAAGTAAAAGGCTCAGAGTGCATCAGTTCTGCCCTTTGAGGCAGGAGAGATGTATCCCAAACAAGAACTGCTCCATGATAACTATTTAGCCCCTGTGAAGTGGAGCTTGATTCACATACAGTGTGGTGAAGTCAGTGCATGTAATGTAATCTCAAAAATGCCAAAATGGACATATCTTGGGGAAAGTTACAGGCTTTACTCTCCTAAATCCTGAGCAATTAACTTCTGACTAAAAGACAGTCTCCTGTGGTTTGCCTTAGCCTTCTTTATAGTCTTTCAGTGATCCTGTGCTATTTCCCATAAGTTTATTATTAGTCCCATGCCCATCAAATGTTCAAAAGGTAATGCTTAGGCACAAGTACAAGAACAGGTGAAGTATATCATAATGATTCTCAAGGCCAGGATGTCTCTCTAAGACATACATGTGTCTTTGTGCCTCCTAGTAGTCGTGTCCTGAACCAGTAAGTAAAAACATCAGCACTGCTATTCCAGTGCTAACTAGAGAAGAAACAACATTGGCATTAAGTTTCTTATTTTACCAAAACTGTGGGGCAAGCTGCTGCAGCAACCTGTCTCCAAGAGTCCAGCTGTGTCTGAGACAAGGAGGTGTGAGTCTCCATGACTCTGCAAGTCATTGCACCATGAGGTTGAGTGCCTTTTTGGTCTTAGCTCAAGTGTCCTTTGCTTAGGGACACCTAGCATGCCGGATGAAAGGCAGTGCTACCCTGCTTAATTTGTATGCATTAAAATCTTTTTGTTTAATATCATTATCTTTAATCCTGTCACAATTTTATTTCCCATAACTCTGTCAACTGACTTGAGATACCTAGAAGAGATAAGCAGTGTGTTGCAATAGTCCTTGCTGTTATCTTGCAGACAGAGGGCCCTGAGAGAGGTGCGTGCCTGCCGCACACAGCCCAGCGATGAGTGAGACACCAGCCCCCACCCTCAACACTGGAGATACTTCAGCTGGTCCCACCACACCACGCAAGGGGCCTCCCAAGTTCAAGCAGAGACAGACAAGGCAGTTCAAGAGCAAGCCCCCCAAAAAAGGAGTAAGAGGGTAAGGGAATTTCAGAAATAAAAGGAACTGTTCTAGTTGGGTGGCTCCCGACTGCTAACCTGGGCTTCTGCGATACCGTCTTCCCTTGGGCCAGAAGTCTTCCCCTTGCCCCCTGGTGCCATCAGCTCTCCAAACTGGAGCTGCTTCTCTTCATCTGCTGCCCACCCATAATTCTCCTTCCTTGACTGGGAGTTCAGGGCAGCTCCCCTTCCCTTGCTGCTGGCCCAAACTCACTCCTTATCTGCTCTTTTCTCTCCTAGGTTTGGAGATGACATCCCAGGCATGGAGGGACTGGGCACAGGTAAGATCTGCAGTATGTTATTGTCATGCCCTGCTTTAGCACAAGCACAGGCATGCTTCATCATGGGAGAGGACACTCTGGAGTGGTTGCTTTGTTTCCTTGACCTCTCTACAGCTCTCAGGGTCACCAGAGAAGGCTAGTACTCCCTCCACAAGCTGCTATGTTCATGCTTATGCTTATATAGACTACAAGACAGAAAGGCCACTTAGGCATGCGTCAATTTCTGAATACTTACATTTGGCTGCAAAAGTGCTTGTTTGTTTTCTTCTTATACTCTGGCTAAGAATTTCAGCAGCATGAAGTTCTCAAAGAAATGCCAAATGCTAAGCTATTAATACCAAAAATCACAGGAACTAAATCACAGATGGTTAAGTATTTGTGTTGTCATCAGAATCCTAATTTTAAGAATTTTATGTACCCATCTGTGATAGAGAAACATGCACTGGATGAACTGTAACCAGTCAGAACTTTGTATGCATCGATAACAAAGGAGTTACAGATCCTAAATGTTGAACACTAAATTATTCAGCATCTGATTTAAGACTGCACATGTCCTTAAGATCACAGATTGGCTACAGGTAGTTTATAAGAACAGGAGAAACCACACAACTGGAATGAATTTTTACACCAGTTTACACAATCACTGAAAAGACTATAAGAATGATGGCTTGCTTTAGCTCACAGAGAGAAAATACACTGATCTGGTTTGGTCTGACAGGTAGTTCTAGATTTGAAATGCTCATCTGCTCATTTAACCTTCAAGTGGAGTCTCATTCTTCTTAATGGTTCCTGAGTAAATCAATCTTTCCATTAATACAAAAGTAATCCCAGGAGTGCAGTGACCAGAACCCCTTTCTTGTTTTCTGTCTTTTGCAGATATCACAGTGATTTGCCCATGGGAAGCTTTCAGCCATCTGGAACTGCACGAGTTGGCCCAGTTCGGGATCATCTAAGGTGTCAGCATCTCTACTGGTGTCACCTGGTGACTCTGCAGATCCTAGCATGGTCTTCACCACCTTTGACACTTATTTTTGGCCCTTGCATCCATCCACTTATGGGCAGGGTGGTTTTGTAAGAGCTAGTTATGAGAAAGTCCTTTGCAGACTAATTTGGCAAAGAAGTTATTTGGGGCCCTGAGCAGACCTCAGGCTCCATGTGATGAAACAACTGAAAAATGTCTTAATGCCTCCCTGTACCATATTCTTTCTTCTCTCACTGTCATAGATCTTCAATGTTTATGGAGATACAGGGAGGCTGTATTTGAACTTTTCCCCCAATTAGCTGAGATATTGTGTGCATGTATGTCCAGACCTAATTATATCAAACCCATTTGATTTCCTTCCTTCCCTTCCTGACAGCTTTCTATATAGAATTTTCAGGGGTAGGTCCCCATGTTATTTGGGCCACCAATTATTTGCTGAGAGTACATCTGTAGAGAACAGCATTAGAGTCACCAGTCCAGACATTAGGCTATTTTTCCATAGGAGACCCTTCCCCAGGGGTTCACCATAAGGAATGTGCTGCTAAAATTTACCTCATCAGCAAATGGGGAAAAGGGCTTGCAAATGTTGTCTCTGCTGTACTGCCCACAAGCTATGAGCCATGAGAGTCTGGCTGTTCTAATAATGTTAAATGAAACTGTGTATGTCTGAGATCAATAGCTAAGTGAGTTAATCCTATTATTCATTCTTTTGTGGCTGCAATTCCAAGGAAGCAGCACTCCAAATGACACTGTTTCCTCTTCTTCGATCGGATTCCCTGTGTGACACTTGCACTGTCCCCATGTCCATACATATTTACATGAGGCATTTGCTCCCCAGGACATGCTTGCTGCTGGTTAAGAAGACAGACAGTCATTATGATCTGTCACCAGACTGTGCCAGGAGCCCTGCCACATCCAGCAGAAGATGGTATTGCATTAATTGCTCCCTTTCCCCTGTATTTAGCATGGGGCAAGTCTCCCTTCACACCACCCCTCATAAGTAGGAAGGCTTTTCTCTCTCCATCCCCTGGCAACTTCAAGCTCCAGAGCTTGTCTGGACAAGCAGGCAAATTGTGTCCCCAGAGAGAGGTAACAGCAAAGCAGGTGGGGAGGCAGGGGAGGGGTAGGATGTGTATATGCAGGCAAGCACATTGCACATCCACTTAACCATATCGATCTATGTCTCCTGGTCTCTGGCAGCCTGAGTGCTGGGGAGTAGTGAGGCACCCATAACCACTTAAATGTTCAGGGAAGGCACTAAGATTCCCAACTGCCCTGGCATTAAGGAAGCGCTTTTGTTTCTCTTGGAGGCAAGGAGCAAGTTTGTTGTAGCTACATAATATTCATAGAGGAGGTGGCATTTTTAATCATTGCCTTTAGCTTGACAAGCCTCATTGCATAAGAACTGCCTCCCCCCACCTTGTCTTTCCTGTGATGAACATGTTCATGGGAGCAAGGAGTGGCTGTGGAGAGGAGAGCAAATCCTGTCTAAACGATTGATCCCCACGCATAAAGCATTGCTATAGTTATTTGCTGCTGTTATTCCAGAAATAAAAGCTAGCAGTTTTCAGTTAAAATATAGCTTCAGCACCAAAAGCTAAAGGAAATTAATGCCTGTTGGCAGTCCAGAGTACAGTTTTTATTATTCAGCACTCCTGCCATTAGAAACAGCAGTAAACCACAGAGTGGTTCAGAACCACAACACTATTACAGTGCAGGAGTCATGTACCATTTAGCTAATTGCAGCCCACAGCTATTTCCTTGGGCAGACACACTCTGTCCTTTCCACTTCCAGTTTCTCCTGCCTTTCTCACCTTTTAACACTTTTCTCCTTTCCCTAAGTGTTCTTTATATAAATGATGTTTTATTTAGCTTTTACTGCAGGGGACTAATTTCATTTTTTTCAAGCTCATGTGCTAGCCCTCTCCTTCTATGGTTAAATGTGAATGTTCCTATGGCAATGCTCTTGTGCTTTCCCTTGCATGACATCACACTGCATCATATGATCCTTATTCCACCTTCTTGGTCTGTCCTCCTCTCTCTGGGAAAAGATCCACTGGATCCAGCTTTTGGATCCTGCAAGCTGGCTGCCTCTATTGTAATTGAATTTTCCCTCTTTTAAGCTTTTTTTTTTTAAGCAGGAGAACAACAAGAGGAGAAATTTTGAATTAGTCTTTTTGCTCCCTTTTCACCCCAGGCTTTGGGGAACAGTCCAAAGACAGTGAGATACTCTGTCAGAAAACACTGGGGTAAAAGCAAAATTCTCCTTAGTCCAGGGACTGAAGCATTTGAGTAAATGGGAGGGTTCTGGTGTAGTTCCACATCTGATTGCCATATCCTCAGTTCCCATCAGAGAACTACTCCATTTCCTTCCTAGAGGAGTTGAACAGGAATGCACACATACCCCAGCTCTCATGCCTGGCTGATGAGCTGTATCAGAAGATGCTTTGAGTCAACACAGTTTGTTAGTTATTTTAAAAGTAATTTCTATTAATTAATAGGGATTACATTTATTCCTTTACTTGTAAGGCATTTTGAGACTTAGAAGAGGAGTCTTAAAACGCTCTCACAGCTATTTTGTCTGAGGTTCTGAGTTTTTTGTAATGAGCTATAACTCCTGAAACTTCCATTTTTCAGTGAGACATGGTTATGGTGCAAGAAAGCAAACGTGTTAAAACAGCTCATTGAAGGACTTCAGTCTATACACATTGTAACGCGTTATTCTTTGTTCTTTTACTATAAAAACATGTCAAAAGGAATAAAAAAATTAATAAAAATTGCTTTAAAACATCCTGGGAATGTAGTTTGACTTGCTTACAAAATAGATCCAGAGAAACACGAATGACTTAGCTTTTCATTCTGAAATGCGTTCCTGGAGAAAGCTCTGAAAGTCACTCACCACTCCTCATTAGAGAAAACCAGCTATTTATCTCCAAACAATAGGCAATAAAGACCGACTGTGATATCATCTGAGAAGCAGTTTTTCCCCGAGTGATGACTGGTGTATTCTCCCATGGTTTCCTTAGGGCTGAAATCTTTTGGCCAGTTAAGTCTTGTGGGACTCTTTATGCAACTGAGCGTCTGCATGTGAATTCCACTTAGTTCCTTCTCATTGCTGTGACTGCAAGACAGAGCTGCAAATGCTCATCTCCTCTTGCTTCTTGCTGTTGCTGAACTTTCTAAGTGTTCACAGGGGTTTCAAGTTGTTAAGTTTCAATTGCCTCCAGGTGTTATGCTGACAGGTCTCAGCCTTAGAACTGTTCTCTTTTGTGCCATCTTTGCAGCTTTTTTCTTGCAACTCATCACCGAGTGTCCAACTGAAAGTCTTTTGTATTTGAATGGTCTCTGTCCTGTGAGATACAAGTATGAGTCTTCCAGGAATAACTTTGTGGGGGCTTTTTATAAACCCCTTCCCAAAAGTACTTTGAAAACCGGGGAAACATCTCACAAGGTTATTGCTGTTCGAAGAAATAACAAACTTTAATGATTGAGTCCCATCCTCACTGACCTCAGTTTCTGACTCTAGTGGGAAAGTTCATAAACCTATGTCTCTTCAAGAAAAGAATGAACCTTGGGAAAAGTGAGAAGCACTTGTCTTGCTTCCCTTTTCTCTGCCCACCACCTCCTCCCCACAAAAAAATCTAAATCACCTTAGGAATCTCAATTATAAATAAACAAACAAAAATTTAAAAAACCACCAAACTGTCAGTGTAAATTGCATTCCTTATGAGATCTGAAAATGCTTAGTGCAAAATTCCTATCCTCCCAACAGTTTGTAAACCAGCACCTCACTCAATATCAAGCCACTGTCATATTTTCCCATGGTATTGATCAACTGGACAAACAAATGTACCCTGACAATATCACTCGGTGTTTTGTGGAGCCTTTTTCTATTTTGTAAAAGGCATTTTAAGCACTAGAAAAGTTATTGTCAAGACTACCCACCACCTTTAGGTCACCAATTCCTGATTTTTCAGAGTACCTAACATTATGTCTTCATGTTTAAAATACAGCTATCATTGGTTGTGGTTGGAGCTATAAGTACTCATTACTGAGTCTCATTCTCTCTGAGTCTGATCTCAATGAGACAGTAAAATCCAGGGATTCAGCTCAGAGATCTACGAGTCTGTATTTTTGAGAGCATTTATGTAATGCCTCATAGGGTGGGCAGGTTATTCCAGCCAACAGTCTGTTTCAGCATCACCACACAACTGTGATGGAAATCTAGACAGATTTAAAAAATAAAAAAAAAAGAAAAAAAAAAAAAGAAAAAGAAAGTCATGCAATTAAAATTAAAAGAAATAAAAGACAGTATCACATGCTTATAAATGTGCTCAACTCTGGAATTTCCTCATACCAGACTGCTTAACTTTGAAACCTTACTCCCAGTGCCCAGAGTGCTGTCAGGGCTGTCAAAGCTGGGATCAGCTTAGTACCCTGAGGCTGGGCACCTGCACCTCCAAAGTTTGTCCTGACAGCCCAAGGCAGGCAGCATTTATGGCTCTCAGCCTTCTCCATGCCAACTATGATCCACCTGAAGGGAGTGGGATTACTGAAGCCTCTGTGCTGGGAGCACATAAGGATTTCATTCTATCACTTGCAACTTTTAACTTATCTTTAACAAATGCTCTCACTTTTTATGTGGTTCCTCTTCTTGAAGTTTAGCATAACCGTGGTGAGAATTCTGGTCCTTGCTGCTCCTGCTGAGTGAAAAGAATACCTTCACTATGAAGGCTCATTGCCTTCAGGCATTTTTAAACACTTTCTTGTCTCTGACATTTTTCTGAGGGCCTCTCACATTCCTGAGGCTGTAAATGAAGTGTCTGAGTGTACCAATCACCAGCACATACGCAACATACACCAGACTGTCCAGAAGGCAGAGCAGACCAGGGATATGACAAAAATAGATGAACTACACTACCCCATGAAGAGTAGGACTTCAGTTAGGGGTGCACTGGGAGTGAAGAATGCTTTTAACACCCTGAGAACTTGATCAGGACAGTGGTGAGCACAAGAAAACTGCACAGGAAGGAAAGATTCCTTCAAGAACGTGGAGAACATGGAGAAGCAATGTGGTGAAGCCCTAACTCCATTGCCAAAACAGTACACTGGGTTCTGGGTGTAGCAGATGGCCAAGAAGCACTTGCTGGAGCTCTGAGCCTGTTGCAAAGAAAAGCATCCGCACAAGGCACTAACTATCTACAAAGGGAATCCACTGTGCAAGCTGAACTTGGTCCTTTACAGAAGACCTTGCTCTATCTGTGACACTGCAGGAAGTGGCTGCACAACCATCCAGGAGGAAAGAGAACTTGGAGAAAAACACATCAAAACATAGATCCAGACTACCACCACAATGGCCATGTAATAATGGGTGACATAGTAGGTAAGCAGGAATAACATCAGTGGGAGAATCTGTATCTTGTGCCATTAGGAGAACTCAATAACCTGCATTTTGTTTACCCTAACCTCTGGTTAGGACACCAGAAGGAGCAAAAGATAGAAATCCCGGGACTCTTAACACCCCCTCCAATGTAGGCTGGTGGAACACATCCCTTGGAAGCATGATCTATGCAGGCTTACAGG